AAAACCCATCTCTCATTTATCATTTGAACGATATTTTTGTTTTTATTGTTTTAATTAAGAATCAGAAATTCTAACCTACACTTCGAACTGGATCGTTTTCAATACTAATTCAGGTGAATATCAGAAATAAAGAGGGTCCAAACTGATTGACACGGTCCCAAAAGTTAGAGTTGAAGCAAGAAAAAAAACGATGCCAAGGCCTAAACTTACCGAGGCTGAGAAAGCCAAAGAACATAGACGGGAATACCTTAAGCGTTACACACAAACGGAAAAACGAAAAGATTCCGTTTGCAAACGCAAGCATGAAGCCCGTCCCTCTCAAAAGTACCAAAGTGGTTGAGAAAATTGAACCCTACCGAAAAGCAAATGGTGACTCTCCGAACCCCTTTCATGCAAATATGAGAACTGGATGTCGATCACCAGTTAAAGATAAAAGGATCCATTGTCAGCGTACCCAATAACTTGCGCAAGACCGTAGACTGTTTTCCACGCATTATAATTGATTCATTCACTAATCATGTAAAATTGAAAAAAAGCCTAGCTATCAAATCATATTTCATGTATGAACTTGTGAATCCAAAACAGGAATATGATGCAGCTTACATTCTCCATCAAACACCATTGTACCATTCCGAAAATGTTAATATTGATTTCGGTTGGCTGTTCAATGTTCATTCAGTCATTAAAAGAATTTACACAGAATGTGTCTGAGCTGCATTTAAATGTGTCTGCCAAATTGTATACCACGAAGTTCAGGATTAACAGTTAAAGATGTCCAAGATGAAAACACAATGAAGTTTCTTTTCCGAAAAAAATTAGACAACAGCCATCTTGCCAATGGGTCACCTGTGATAGCCTTGCAGCGATCACAATTTTCTTCATTCTGTAGTGAATCGTATTTTAAATTTTTGTTGCATTATTTTATTTATTTAATTCTGTATAACTATCTTTTAATTTTTGCGCATAATTCTAGGTCTCATTTAATTAATTACGATGATTGATTTACAAAGAAACAATATTTTATTTTATTATTTGTTTATGTTGCCTTAAAGAGAATGGTTAAAGTTTTAAAATGTTCTTAAATCGGTATCTATCTTGTTAAACAATCTCAATATTTAATAAACAAAACGAGAGGTTTCTACTTTTCTTTTCAAAGTATTGTGGAGATTTTAAAGTTATCGAACAGTATGATAGTGCATAGATATGAAGGACTAATTTAAAAAACAGAAGACCGAACAAAAATAAGAGCAACAAAGAAAAGAACAAAATTAGTTTAGTACTAAAAATAACTTAAAGACATGGTTTTATTTTGACATAATTGCCTTGAAGATTGTCGTGAGACGGAGGTGAGGACCTTGAAATTTCGCAAGGTTTTGAAAACCTTGATCTCAGCAGACCTTTCTTAATTCGCCTGTGCTACTTCATATCTCTGGCAATAATGGAAATGAGTCGGCACTTTGTTGGTCTCTTAGATTTGGTCTGAAAAAGCGTTAAGAAAAAAAAATTTTATATCTACCTGATACCGTCAAAAATCTTGTGACAAAATGGTGCGCACAGTGAAAAATGATAGTTCCTTATTTGCCTGGTCTATGTGTTGAAGTTTTCAGGCAAATAAGTAGCTTCAAGGACTATCTCTCATCACTAAAAGTTTCTCGAAGTGTAGACTTCAAATTTTAGCAACATTCTAAATACTTGAATTTTCGACGAAATTCAATGCTGAAAAGAAACTATATCTTGTTTTGATTCTGTTTAGTTCGTTAACATCGCGGTTGAGCTACACTAACTGGCTATTGCCAACAATCTGGGGCTAATCCTGTATAGTGATTTAAAGACCATAAAGCTCACACTACACTATCACAATTTACATCACAGGGCAGATAATGGCAGCAATTTATAGTCTCCAAAATTCTCTCAGTCATGCGAGAACTTTATGTCTTCGAAACTACCCGGGATATTGCAGTAAGAGTGCATTTCGAACCACTTAGACACGAAAAGTGCAATCTGAACAAACACGCTGTTTTAAGTATGAGGATTCGAACTCCGGTCCAAGCCNTGTAGTCTCCAAAATTCTCTCAGTCATGCGAGAACTTTATGGCTTCGAAACTACCCGGGATATTGCAGTAAGAGTGCATTTCGAACCACTTAGACACGAAAAGTGCAATCTGAACAAACACGCTGTTTTAAGTATGAGGATTCGAACTCCGGTCCAAGCCGTAATAAGTGAAAACTCTATTCACTATATCAACTGGGATATTTACACATAAAGCAGTTTTGCTTTTCAATTTATCTTCAACCGAAAAAAAATATTTCATATGATCGAAAGGTAAGACATTTATTATAAAAATAGGAGGATAAATATAAAAGAAATATTTAAATCCTAAGTAGTGAAAAAAATTATAATGCTTCTGTTTAATTTGTTCAACGTTTAACTACAACGAGTAACATTGTATCTAAAAATACTTAAAATGCAAAAAGTAGCCGCAATAAATAAACACTTTGAAATTACTTCAAAAAGGCTTCTATCAGTGAAATCTCATCAGCAGAGGAAAGTTTACTTTTACCAATTTCCGAGTATGAAAAGGTTGCAAGAATCATCACCTGTCCTCACCTATCATGAAGAAGTGCTCATTCTCTCTTTAGTCTCTGGAATGCTTTGGCAAGGTGCTCTAGCTTGTATCGCCAACAAAGCACAGCATTCAAGTCTCACTACCTGTGGCTAATTACTGTGTTAACCTTCAAAAAAGAGCGCCTCTTCAAAGGAAAAGATTCGAAAAGCGTCTCTTCCATCATATGCGTAGTTGAACTTTGCGACTACTGTGTATGCGGAATCGCATAACTGCCTCTCTGAATCAAAGTTAGAATGCATATGCCACTTGGAGATATGCCCGCATGCGAGGATAAAATACACTTTCAATAATTCTTTTTGGTAAATGGGACCAAATGACTTCTTGTCAAAAAAAAAAAAAAAAAAAAGAGAGTCTTGTTAAAATTGCAAATAATAATTTCAATTTCATCCTCTAAGAAAAATCGATTAAACGTTGAAACATAATATCGTGCAGGTTTATTGCAATCTTAATATGTTAAATCCAACCATGCTTTTATTTAAGAGTACGTTATACCACCTAAGAAGCTCTTCATTGCAAATTCTGTTCCTACTTCATTGACAATTAAAAATAAATTATTTCTAATACCCACGTTATTTGGCAACATTTGCCATCGTGGCGCATAACGGACGGTATTAGTGATCTCTTTTTCGTGAGCATTATATAGGTGGATCTAGAGCCCCTGAATTAGACATGGCGACTTATTTTTGGAGCAAAGAGCTAACATAAGCACATAACATAACTAATACTAACATAACGTTAACTTGCGAACTTGTTTGCTCCAATATTGCTTGATAGGTCAGCTCTGATAGTATAGGAGCCTTAGGTGGATCAACGTCATCCTTACTGCATAGGAAAGAAAGATAAAACAGAGAGAAAGAGAAATTACATCTATGTCCGAAGCGGGATTCGAACGTGGGACCTTTTTGACATGAGGTGAGCTCCCTGACCGCCATACAGGCCGGGCTGCTAGCAATTTAAAATATAAAGTAT